CAAGATCGTCATCATCTAGCTCAAGTGGCCCATGTGCAAGCCAAAGGTTTGCCCTTGATAGGTTTTCTATTTTTCCGGTCTCATGGTGGTAGTTAGGAGACCAGGTTATAGGATCAATTGCCGTACTATCAAGGGGGGCTCGATGATGAGTAGCTTGACCGTATCGTTCTTAGAGAGCTCAAACCATTGCATCCTTGCATCATCTTTCTTGGTTCTTATTTGGTTCTCTTTATGAGTTTTGGAGCTTATGGTCATCTTGATGACAAGCTCGAGTTCATCGAAAACGGAGTTCACTTGCTCGAGTTCATCGAAAACGGAGTTCACTTGCATCTTCTATGATGTTTTCGATGTTGGAGGTTATGACGGTTCTTCTCGGTTGGAGGTTTCTTTCCTTCATTTGTTAGGCATACCTCCCCTCGCTGTTTTGATGCTACTCGTCGTCTTGTTTCCAACAAGCTTGAGTTTTCTCAATTCGGAGGTCTTATGTAGAAGTTGTGGCAGTTCAGGCTTTATTGCATCCTCTGTTTTCTCTGTTGTGTTCCTGAAAGCCTCAAGCGGTAGTACTGCTCCCTAGAGCGGTAGTACCACTTGTAAGCGGCAGTACCGCGGCCCTATGCCACGCGTACTACCGCTGCTTCTGGGGATGCGTCTTTTCGTGTCGAGTTTCGTGGTAGTAGAGCGGTAGTACCTCTTATAAGCGGTAAGCGGTACTACCTCTCCACCCGAGCGGTAGTACCGCTTATGAGTGATAAGAGGTACTTCCTCTCCCCAGAGCGGTACTATCTCTCTAGCAGAACTACAACTCGTGTTTCTCTCTCTCGTTGGGCTGTTTTGGCCGTGCTAAGCGCTAGTACCGCTCCTCCAAGCGGTAGTACCGCTTGTGCACGACCTGAGCACATAATGGTTGGATTCGGGAGGTCCTATAAAAGGGGGTCTTCTTCCCCATTGAACCTTATCCTTTGAGCTTGTTTTCTTCCCCCATTGTTGACCTTCTTCGAGCTTGCTAACTCTCAATCCCTCCATGGATTCTTGCTAGTTTTTGAGGGAAAAGAGAGAGGAGATCTAGATCCACATTTCCACCAATCACTTTCTCCTCTATGTAAGGGGAACCCCTTGGATCTAGATCTCATTTTCCTCCCTAGCAGTAGTTGCTTCGGTGGGATTTGAGAGAGAAGGACTTGGGCACACCGTGTGCCCTTGCCATTGCATTTGGTGCATCATTTTGAGTTCTCCACGATGATACGTGGAAGTTACAAGTTGAGAAGCTTATTACTCTTGGGTGCTTGGTACCATTGAGCTTGTTCCTCTTGGGTGGTTGGGCGCCCTAAACGGTTGGTGGTGTTTGGAGCTCAATCATTGTAGTGTAAAGCTCCGGGCAAGTGTCGGGGTCTCCAATTAGGTTGTGGAGATCACCCTGAGCAATTTGACGGGTACCGGTGACCGCCCCAAGGGTTTCCAAAGTGTACGGGTTTGGTGACCGCCCCCTAGGGTTGCCATTTGTACGGGTTCGGTGACAGCCCTCAAGGGTCCCTTAGTGGCATCACGGCCTCTTGCATTGTGCGAGGGCGTGAGGAGATTACGGTGGCCCTAGTGGCTTCTTGGGGAGCATTGTGCCTCCACACCGCTCCAAACGGAGATTAGCATCCGCAAGGGTGTGAACTTCGGGACATCGTCGTCTTCGCACGTCTTGGTTATCTCTTACCCGAGCCCTTTACTTATGCACTTTACTTTGTGATAGCCATAGTGTTTCATGTTATATATATTGCTATCACATAGTTGTTTATATTACTTAGCATAAGTTGTTGGTGCACATAGGTGAGCCTAGTTGTTTTAGGTTTTGTGCTTGACAAATTAAACGCTAGTTTTATTCCACATTTGTTTAAGCCTAAACCGTAATTATTTTAAAGTGCCTATTCACCCCCCCTCTAGGCGACATCCACGATCTTTCAACAAGCATAAACCGTTGCAGGTTAAGGGACGAAAGGTGTTCAAGCATGCAAAATTGTTAAACCGGAGGTTGATGCTATCAGAATTACAATGATAAAGCGATTGGCGGTTTATGAGGGGACTAATGGTACCTGGCGGGTTATCATTTTCTAAAGGTTAAACCGCCTATATTGGTATGAAAGGTACATATATGAAGTAACTAAGTAAAGGAAAAACATGTTTCACAAGTTGGCACTATAATTTTGGATCTATCACAGGTCGGGAAATGAAAATATATTCAAACCTCAAACATGGATACCGAAGCAGTGGATTAAGGTTCAGATTGGATTCAGATTGAAGTTTTTTGCTTAAACAAGATGTACTGATGAAAAAGAACTATGGCCATTGCTATACATGTTGAATATTGAGGTTTCAATCAAGGGAACTATAGCGCAGTGATGAGCGCCGACGAACACCGAGGAACGTTCAAACCCTAGAACTGGATCTACGGTGGAGGAAAGGGAGGCTTACTGGTGCTGAAGGAACAACGGAGAGGCGCCGCGATTCTCTGGTACGTCCAGGGTGATGCAACGTCCAAAGTTGATGCAGAGGCGAAGTTCGACGGCGCCGGTGGAGCTTGAGGTGCTGGGGCGACGCGAGGAAGACAATGAGGCTGAGAGGCACGAGGGGAAAAGTGAAAATGACCCCCGACCCTATTTATAAGGTGAAGGGATAAGCGACACACACGAGAATCGAGGAGGTCAAAAAACGGATCTATAGACATGCAGACGCCTCGATTTTCGGAAATTCATTAAAGAAGATACACTAAAAGATTTGGGATCGGTGTAAAGCTAATGGCAGATGACGTCACGACGAATTATTATGGTCTCGGAGATGACGTCACGGCGGTTTACAAGGTTTTTCAGCAGGTGTTGAAATAAGGAATTTTTCTAAATACTAAAAATTGACATGAACCGGTTCAAATCAATTTGGGATCTAATGTTTGGGATATAACTATTAAGTATAAACCGCCCAGGAGGGGCCGGATTATACTTATGGTGAGTTATTCCTATTGAAGCCCACAAAGGCAAGGCACTTTACGAAGGAGGTTTAACAAGAAGGCCCAAGGCCCAAAGGCGGATTAGGGCCTGTAGATGTAAACCGCCATAAGATGTATAACTTGTATTGTAAGATAAGAAATGGTAGAAACCGAGGCGGACACGATTATGAGCTGGCCGAGATTCTGTAAACCGTTGGGCGTCAACCTGTGTATATAAAGGGACGACCCGACGACGGTTTAGGGAGGAAAAAAGACAACAGATCGAGAGCCACGCAAAGCGTATTCGCTCCCTGGTCTTCGAAACCCTAGCAATTCCATCACAACTGGATTAGGTTTTTACCTTCACCGCAAGGGGCCGAACCAGTATAAAACTCCTTGCGTCCTTTGTCCCGCTTTAACCCCTTTAAGCTAACTACGTTGCGATGGCCCCATAACTAAGTCCTCACACTAGGACATCTGCCGTGACAAAACCACGACAGCACCAACACAATATCCGCCGTCGATAAAGAGAAGCGTAGATCGAAAGGACCCTATAGACACACACCCGAAGATGAATGAAGATGGATCCGAACAGATCTACTAAATACTAGCACCAATCGAATCCCGTGAGATCCGATGAAGACACACCACCACATGTCCTCCAATGAAGTTAGACGCACCATCAGAATGAAAATCGAACATGTGAGACATTATTTCTACTAGGGGACATCGCCGTCACCGTACAGTCACAACCAAGACGCTGAAGCAAACAAGAACGAGAGCGAGACCCCTCCCGTTAGCGAGGTGTCGGGGTCTTCTGCACCTCCACGGCCCAAAGGCCATGGGAGGCGAGGTGGCCCGGTGGCGGCACGGACGGGAGGTGGAGAAACCCTAGTTCGCTGAGAGTAGTTTCTTGTGGAGGAGGAAAGAGGCAAGAACGATAGTCCATTCGCATTAATTTAAAAATTGCGCTATTAGGTCGGAAAAGTTTCTCGAAACAGTTTTGTTAAGTCTCAGTCGACTTAGACTTCGTTATGTCTCGATGTTATATTCCTTTAATTTTGCCTGGAGATTCGTACATTTTTTTCAGTTTTTCTTTTTTCTTTCTACATACTATATTACTTGACCGAGACTTGGTTAAGTCCCGAAATGCTTCAAATATGCACGATTTTCGATTCCCAAGCAAATACGCCGCAAGTCTCCCCGGAGACAAGCCAGATTTAGGTGTGTTTGGTTCTCTAGTTCTAAGACTTTTTCTAGTCCCTAGGACTTTTTGGAAAAGACTCTCAAAAAGGTGTTTCTAAGGACTTTTAACAAAAAGTTCCAAAAAGTCTACCCTGTTTGGTTTGCTAAGGATTTTTTCTAGTCTCAATACAAAAAAAAAAGTCCGTGAAACCAAACATCCCCTTAGACTTTGGACAGGAGCACGAGCCGGACACTCCAACTCCGTTGTGCTAACGGACAAGAAAAATAGGAAAAACAAGTGAAAAAAAAAACACTTTGCCAGCTCAGGCCCCGTACGCCCGCCCGAGATCCAAAGCGCCCCTTTCCCTGATCTCTCC